AACTCCCTACCCCCATTCCAAGAGCCAGATCCCCCAAGAGCGGGCTCCCGCTTGGACAGAGGATAGTCTCAATTGTGTGATTTGAGGCCTCAAGCATCACTCAAAGTTAGCGCTACAATGGATCACCCAGGTAAGATAGTGCTGATTGGCTCTACCGCAATGGATGTGACTATCAACTGCTGACACCTCAAACTCGTGAACCCACGCTGGCAGACAATCAAACTAAAGGATCCGTCAAAAAACAAAACAAACAGGTTTCAGAGTGGCTCCCTGACCACAACACCCCGTACTGCGAATCGGTGACAGATTTTGTGAAATATCTGCTCGGACGAATTGATTCAAAGACTCCCTATCCCTCTAGTCCGACTCTCGATGAGATCTCGAAACTTCCTCAGCTTACACCATCTGAAATTCTTAACGATACTTGCACATTTCAATCACATCTAGAGGCTGAATCTACCGATGATGTCGACCTCAAACGTCCTCGCCGACAAAAGGCTTCGTGGTCACGACATAGGCAGCTGTTCCGAAACGAACTGACAAACTTTGGAATTCCACGTGCCACACTTGACTGGAAGCGATCACCAGATTCCCCTTGGAACTCCATCATGTTAGCTTGTGTAACAAAACACTACGAATGGGGACTCAGCCAAGGCGCGTTCTCCTTGTACCCAATCAACCCCGGGCATACTGGAGATCTTATGTGCTTGGGTACGTTGGAAAGATGGCTTCGAGGGCGTACAGAAGAGATACAGAAGAATTTGAAGAACCCTCATCTGGTCTCAATCCGGAGGAAAGCTCAACAGCGCGGTAGTGTTGGTTGAAAGACATACTAGTTGTGTACGAAATTCAATGGTCTGACTATATCCTCTCTTCCCATTCACAGCTATTCAAGTATCGCAAAAATGCAATTGAAGTCGCTCTGGGCATACCCGCCTTGGCCCTACTTCCGAAGTCTACTTGTTGCTCGGACACCGAAGATGATGGGAACAGTGGCTTCGTTTCAATCGATTTAGGCTGGCGTAGTTCTAAGTACAGGAAATTTTTACACATGATTGACGAAGTGTCTCGGCAGCATGGAAGAAATAGAGGGTCGGGTAGAATGGTTGCACGACGGTTGGATTCTAATAGGACATTTTCTGGAAGAATCAATAGAGATGCTAAGGCTTGTGCTGGATTACCGGAAGTTTGCTACAGTGAAAGTTATCTATCTCAACTGAGTATGACAGACAAGTATCTCTGGGACAAAACCAAACGGATTCCTACTCATATCCTCGATCATTATCTCTTGGAATTAGAATATTTGCTCAAGAAACCAGCTTATAATTGAGATTACTTTGTTCGGTAACCCTTTTCACTTTTCCTTTAACCTGTTTCTTGTGAATATATCTTTCTGGATCATGTTTCTAAATTCTATTCAGTTTCATTAAGTTTTTCTTCTAGTAAATAAACCAGGGTTTGAAATTTCGAATGGCTATTGAGAACCTGATGTCTATTCAAATGTACACCAAAGATTCATGTTTTCATTCAGTTTTGGAGTTTTCTTTCTTGTAAATAAATCATTTGTCTCGGTTGTGTTTTTTTGTAGTATGATATGATTATTGAGAGTATGATGGTTATTGAATCCACTATATCACAACTATTAGTTAGCTTCATAAATCTAGGTACCCGTCCCAATGTGGGTCCAAGACCTTTGCGTTTTGCTGAGCAACCGCACATATCTCGAATCAGTCAATCTGGTTCAAATTAAACAAAAGTCTCTATGTAGATTTCCATTTATGTTATCGTTGTATTTAAATTGATGAGTCTATGATTGTATGAAGAACTCCGTGTGAGACCCGAGACAAGAGGTCGCGGGATTCGGGGCCCCTAATACATACCTTCGAGGCTACGACACTGCGTGTAGAACAGGTCATCTTGAGACTCAACCCTCTTTCTTTTTGGTTTTAAAAACAATCATTAATAACTTCACATCACCTTGAAAGTCTCACATCGCAATATTGAAATAATGAGGCTTCAAATCAAAACTCAGCACAAGAAATAATACCGAGCAAACTCAAACTCAAACAATTAGTTACAAAAGTCAAACGATGTGTTAACACATGTACTTGAAAGTCAAACGATCAACGTATCAAATTTCACGGTTATATATCAATTATGGATGGCGTAGGACTGGTGTAGCGTCTAACAATATATAAGGAATAGTGAAATTGAATGCATTCCGAGATATTACGTTCGGAAGTGATTCCGACTGGAAATTTTACTTCAGCAGATCAAATGTTCTTGTATATCTTCATGGCAAGAAATTTACTCAAATATTCACAATCGTTAAACCTTCCAACACGATTTATCCAATCCTGGTCAATCTTTCAAATGATCTTGATTCAAATATGAAAGCAGATCAAAATTTGGCTGTCGAATCTCTCTTTTACCGGATTTTAGTCGACTTGAAGATCCAGGAGGAGGAGATCTTTGAGAATTTTTAACGCTGGGGTTTGGAGAATATCAAAAAAAAACCATCGTACTCAAGGTAGATGGAATCAAGTTTTGAAAAGTTGTGTTGAGGATCCGGAATGCGATCTAGGAGTGTTTTCTGAATTACCTGATATCCTGAAATCTGTTCATCAAAGTCATGATGACACTTCATTTTGTTTGATATTACCTTTGATAAATTGAAGAGCCCATTTCTGCTAATACCACCTACGGATACCATGAAATGATAGACATCATTTAGTCTATTCTAGAGGTATCTCGTGAATGATGTCTGGAGATGCCTGGGTTCTTAGAACACATCAGAGAGATCCCAAATGTTGGTTTCAAAACCATTCTTATATTGATCTATTCAGATCCAAAGATATGTGTTGAACACATTTGTAGAATATCAAGTGGAGACATAATTCTTCAAAGAAGAAATATAGAGAGAGATGCGTGCACCCTGACCCAATCAAGCTGTACATTCTCATATTCTCAAAGATTCCTGTTTCTCACCTGAAATACACCGGTGCTAAAACAAGTCAACATCCTCCTTTTGCTAGGAAAAATTTCACTGTCATATCTTTACAACACCCATTTTTCATCACCACGATGCCACCTCATATCTGCACGTGTGCAGAGTTGGGATGTGGAGCGGAAAGCTTTGCGCTTGATGGGGTCATAGCGATTGGCAGGATGCGCAACTCACATAATGGCAAGATACACGAGGCTGAGCTACGACAACTTCGGCATGAATCAGGGAATGGTGCATCATCGAGCCTCCTGGAAGATACTCTTCACATGACTGTATGTGGTCTGCCTTCTCTTTTATCTTGGGAGTCTCATTTATTCATCTTGCATCCTTCTTTTTTGGGGAGATCAAACGACAGAGGCGTCGCAGATCTTTGAGCACTAGTGATTTACCTATACAGAGACGCTCCTCATTCTCAGGCGAACCAACTCAGCCGTCTCGGAGGCGTTCACTGTCAGCTAGACCACCATCTGTTCTTTCTACAGAACAATATCAACTACCAGACGTATTTCTTCAAAAACCTTCCTGCTTGATCAGTATGCTTCAAGTTGCCAAATCGAGTATCAAGGATCGTGCTAGTCATTGGTCAAGCCGAGCTGCTCTCAAACTGGCCAAACTCAGTATTGAACAAGCGTGTCTTGAATTGAATTATCGCGGTCGCCCGTTCTGGTCTGATATACCAACCACGCTTACAAAACTATACAATATCTTCAATCTGGAATCAAATCTAACTTCAGAAATATGCTGCCGGAGTGTTTTGTGTTGCATGGTATCCAACCGACAAGCCCAGGAACATACAAGCTGAAGTGCGATAGCTTGCGTTTCTTTCAAACCATCACAAGGAAGAAGAAGGATGAAAAGACGTACCGGCAAATCTGTGATGCCTCTCTATACGACAATAAGACTCTGAAGCCTCATCGAGTATTTCACTATCAGTCACTGCAATCGTGGATTGCTAAGATGATATTACTGCCGGGGTTTGAGGACCATTTAGATGCCTCGATTATCAGAGCAGCTCAATCGACTCAACCAGATCCAACAAAAACATACGACATCTGGGACGGAAGGATGTGGAAAACCTTCGAAATTTCTTCCAGTAACTCTTTGGTACCATATACTTCAAAAAGCGGCAACTTGGTCTTTGGATTTTTCTGTGATTGGTTCAACCCACACGGACGTGGATCACAACGGCACATCTCTAGCGGAAATGCAATACTTATATGTTACAACTTACCCCCGGAGATGCGGTACAAGCAAGAAAACATCTTTTTATATGGCATCATTCCTGGTCCTCAAGAGCCAAAAACTGATCAGATAAACCATCCTCTGACCCCATTAGTGGATGAATTCATGAAGCTTTGGGATGGCGTTTTCTTCACTTCAACACCAAGGCATCACAGTGGACGAGTCATACGCGCGGCCATCTGGCCACTCATTGCCGACGCACCTGGGATGCGAAAAATTGCAGGCTTTGCATCTCACTCGGCCACACTCTTCTGCCCTCACTGTGCTTTAAAACGGGGAAAAATAGACGAAATTGATATCACCAAATGGCCGAAACAATTAGACCATCAAATTCACTCTGAGGCATGGAGAGATGCGGAGACCTTGGAAGAACAAGATCAGATATTCAATGATTATGGAGTTCAATATAGTATATTCTCAAAGCTACCGTACTGGAGACCGCACGAGTTTGTTACTGTAGATATCATGCACTGTGTGCTTTTGGGTATTCTGTCCGATTATTCGAAGTCATGTATTGGGATCTTTTCTGCTGGGAAAAAGTTGAAATCTATCTATGAGTCAAATGCTCGCAAGGGAATGCACCGGGATGAAGTAAGTTCTTTTTTTATTGAGGCAGTACGCTGTGATTTGAAACCTACCTGTTGATCAAAATCCAATCCCTGGCCACCCATAGGAAGTACAAAGAAGTAGAAAACGTGTTGATAGCATAGACGGTGTGCCAGATCAAATTGATGAAAATCATGAAGAAAGAATGGATGACAAAAGTAGCGTCGAGTATAACAAGAGTAGCACAGACATAGAAAAGCATAGTGAAGACACGAATCAGAGCCATTCAGATATTGATGAAAGTACTGAAAACATTGATGAAAGTAATGAAGAATTAGATGAACATACTGAAGACCTAGATGAACATACCGAAGACCCAGATGAACTTACTGAAGACCTAGATGAACATACTGAAGACGTAGATGGAAGTACTAGAGACACAAATGGCAGTAGTGATTCAGAAATTTTTAATGAAACCTACAATAGCAAACGTGCTAGAAGCCCTGTCGAGGAGCCAAACAAAAGGCATCGGCATATTCATACCGCAAATCCTTCAGGAACAATTAGTGTCATACCCGGGAAAGGAAAAAAAAGACAACTGTCTCAAGATTCCAAATCCCGGCCACTCAGGCGATCAACACAAATACAATCATCATCTGGATCTTCCGTGACATCCTACACATCCCAGAGGATCATCCCTGCAACATCGACTAAAAAAAAACGCAAAATGACTCATCCTCACATGTCATCTTCTCAACATGAAGTAGGCTCCGAAAGTTCGATTATTGAAGAAAATGCGGGCTCCAGCTTGATTCATCAGCTCGATTCAAGCTCAAATGCTCCGAGTATCTCGAATTCTCCGGCTCGAAGCGATTCGAATTCAACTGTTCGAGGGTTTCCGGATGCCTCACAATTCGACCACCTCCCAAAAAATCCCAAAATCACGGTCTTGTTATTGGAAAAACTGCATCAGGCTGCACCAACTATAGTCACTCCCACATGGATGACTCGACTTCCAACAAAAATAGGAATGGGGAGTGCTGGACATGTGAAAGCAAGCGAATGGCTTGTGTTGTATACTGTCTATATGGTGCTTTTCATGATTCCAGAGCTGTACGAGTCTCATGATGATTCAGAAAAAATTATCTGTCAGAGTCTCATCAAACTAGCAGACGTTGTTAATTGTGCATTTTCTCGAACATTCGATCAAATAAAATGTGACAGGTTACAATCACTTTTACAAGATTATCGGCACCACATCCATAAACACTGGACAAGTGTAACCGTAAAATCAAACTTACACGTTGCACAACATCTTCCCGAGATAGCAAGTCTATATGGACCTCCGTCATATACAGCGGGGTTTGCAGGAGAGAGGATGAATGGTTCACTAATCAAAACCCCAACAAACCGTCACCTAGGTAAGGAGAATTTTCTTATAATGGAACTCTACAGTGTTTGGGGTATTGACGTTCTACTTGTCGTTGCAGATGAACTCGAAAAGACTCTATGCAATTCATTTATCCGACGAGGACTTTTCCAATCTGTTTTGAATAACACGTCGGCTTTACTGAGTCGGGTAGATGACAGAATTCGAGACATTGCTGTTGCCACCCTCACTGGACTACACGTCCCTGTATGGTCAAAACTCACATCTATAGATCAGCTGACCACCTACCACACTTGGTTAAACTATCTCAACAGTGATATAGATGGACGTTACGGAGCATTTGAGAACAAATTCGAAAACACAACCACAACAGACCGCCCAGATCAAGTACTGCAAGATCACGTTTGGACCATCCAGAAACTTAACATTGATGGAAAGTTCTACAACTCTGCTAAATCCAGCAAACCCCATGAAGGCAATACTTTGGTTGAGTTTTGGTTAAGAAAACAGAAAAGCTATGGACGAATCAAAGCAATATTCCGGACATCCCTGATACCAACGAACTTTCTTCAAATCGAGCCGTTCACTGAACTGAGTGCCTTTGATGCAAAGCTCAACTTGTATTCTTCGTATCCCGGTCTTCACGCTACCGTATTATATGACAAACCTGCCCCACAAGTTGTAGTGGATGTCAAAGACATGATGGGCCATTTTGCGGCTGTTTTCAATCTGGAAAACACATTTGGGATCTCACAGAAAACTGTCTCTATTGTCAGTTTGAGGAACTCGGTAAGCTTTTGGTCAATGTTTACGGCGAAACATGTTCAGGGTAATGTTTCTGATTACTTGAATTCCAATTACGATTTACTCGCTGCAGAGATTCCAGCAACTTGCAAACCCTAGGAAAGCCAAAGATGTACGGTGCTTATTGTTCAACAAACCTAAGAGTATATGACTCTTCATGTTATTTATGACACACTTGTAGAAATCATTCTCCTCTGTCTCTTTGTGAAAATCGTTTTCCAAAAACTCAAACGATGTCCTTTTCTTGCTATTTTTATCAAAAGTTGTCTCAAAAACTTACGATTTCTTTTATGATTTCCTTTCACTAAACAATAAAATTATTTGTCATGAAATAATTTTAATTGATGTTGCTGTTGAGTTTGAGAATCATCTTGAATTTCAAGACTATTCTCAGTGAATTGTAAATCAAATCGATTTTTTTGAAAATTTTCATTATGATAAACAAATGATATACATAATCAATCATTAGGAGTATTGACCATATCTCCCTCAATTTTCCCGTTTTGAATCTCTAAAATGTTTTGACCGAAATTCTTCAATCAAATTTAGCCACTTCAAATTGAGAACGTATCAACACATATCGAATCTGAACCCTAGGCTAAATAGGTTTAACCTTGCTTGATTGTTTATCGCCACCTCACTTATAACGCTTCCACTCAAAGTACAACCCGACAAAGGATCTCGATAGGGCCGTTTATAAGTTGCGCAAGGCACTTGTAGTACTCAACCTATTTGGGTCACGAATCTACGGTGCTTGAGCTACATTGATTCTGGGGTTGTTTTGCATCCAACAAAAGCAAAACAACCGGCGAGTCTTGTTTTACGCACCGCAACTGTGCGTTCCTTTGGTCTTCAAAACATCAATATTAGCCGTAAGATTACTTGTCTATTTGTTTGCAATTTAAACCTCCTTTATTTTCTAGAAGCTAATCTGCATGTTGACCATTGTTTGTATTTGTTCCCTACTGGTCCGATCTCGAAGAGAATTACATATATCTCACAATAGATCGAAGTATAGAAGAATTCTTAAGGAATCTTTGTATTTGTGATGCCTCTGAAGGAGGGTTTACGCATGTAAATAGAATGCCTTTGAGAGTGAAAATCCTTCGTGATCAACTTGCAACTGACTGATTGATAAAGTTCTCGCATATCTCACCCTCTTTGTCCTTCTGGTCTTCTTCTACATCTTGAACTCACCGGCGAGTCTTGTTTTACACACCGCAACTGTGCGTTCCTTTGGTCTTCAAAACATCAAAATTAGCCGTAAGATTACCCGTATCTTTGTTTCCAATTTGAGACCTCCTTTATTTTCTAGAAGCTAATCTGCATGTACCTTTGTTTGTATTTGTTCCCCTACTGGCCCGATCTCAATCTCTCCTTGTCCTTCTTGTCTTCTTCTACATGAATTCTTATCCCACTTGTCATCATCCTTGAAACAAGTTCTTGTATATCTCTCCCTCCTTGTGCTTGTGGTCTTCTTCCACATCTTGTTCTTTTCCCACTCGTCATCATCCTTCAATATCAATCTGATAATATTTTCCGTTCCTTCATTTTCTATTCTCTCACACCTTTTTCTTTAGTCTCAATCAAATCACTTCGTATAGATCAATTTTCAGATGAAGGCTTTCAAGAATCTGTTTGGTGCTGTCCAGAAGCGTATAACCAAGGCAAACCAATGGGCATGTAAGTTGAATGCTTTGAGACACAAAACTAAACTTGTACTTTCATCTGACGTTCTGTACTTTCCAAAAAAAGCTATACGCGCTCGCCGAGGTCACAGGAGTCAATCGCAATATAATTATCAGTCAGACTTAGAGGCAGCCTACGCGTATGGCGTTGAATTCCCAATCCTTCATAACGTGGCCGAGAGCTATCACGGATTCACTTACGAGGAGAATGCTCCAGCTCCCATGACATATGACGGCTTACTTAGCTCTACTACCACCAGTCAACCTGTTCCGATCCCAGACACAATTCTCACTATTGATGCGGTCTCCAACTTGGCGGAAGCCCTGTCCACTGATATCACGTCGACAATCAATGATCAACCAGATACTCATACGTCCGACCCTGCCGACGAGCCGCTTGATTCCCTTTCAAACTCTGCTGATGCAGTCATTTCTGAGCCCATTTCAGCAGTTGGCGATGCAATGACACCTGGAAGCATATCCTTAAAACGCCGGCGCATGGAAGTCTTGGATGAAAACATCAATGGTAAGTTTTTGATGACCGGCCCACAAGTTCTGTCACGTATCTTATGTCTTCATTGGTATATGCTGAGAAATTTTGTGTCTTTTCAGTATCTTCGGAAACGAAAGTGAAGGAGGATCATGTTCATAAACGCCAAAAAATCGCTCTTGAGTTATCGGTCTCTGTCGGTCTGGACCAATCAAGTCTAGCAGGGCCGCATCACAATGTTCATACTCTCATCAGCTTCAACGCAATTTCACCACGGCACGCGACTGAAAACCATCTCTACTCTGACGATTACGAGGCTCCCCCAACTCAAATTTCGATATCCATTGATCACAAAAAAACTCGCCCTCAAGATATTAGTGGTCTTGAAAACAACTCGCTTTCAACCCCTGCTGCTGGAATCACCTCTGAGCCGATATGCCATACAGCCAATGTCGAAGTCTTTGACCAAAAACTTGAAGGTATGTTAGACTTACATATCCTCCTGTACTCATCCTAAATTTATACTTCAGATATCCACAGGCTGATTGAAGCTGGATGCTTGTAATGCCAGTTCCACCAGTTCTTCAACGTCAAACAAATGAATCTCCCGATCACCCAATCATCCTAGATTCTCCTCGTTCTCCCATTTTTGTTGAACAACCCGAAGGTCCGTTACACCCCTCTACATTATCATTCTTTCTCCTGTTATACCATACTTGCAATTTAGATATCCATATGCTGATTGAATTCTTATGTGTCTAGTGCCAATGACACCAGTCCATAACCATCAAAACATCACATCATCTGACTCGATGATCTTAGGAACTCCTTGTACTCCCGTTTTCATGGAACAACCCATTGGTCTGTTATGTTCCTTTTCAATATATGCCCTTGAGATCCATATGCTGATGTAATTTGGACGTGCTTAGTGCCAATCACATCAGCTGATGACCATCAACAAATCGATTCCTTGGATGACGCAGTGATTCTGGGGACTCCTTGTACTCCAGTAAACGTCAAATCATCTGATGACTTGATGATCCTAGGAACTCCTTGTACTCCCGCTTTCTTTGAACAGCCAAAAGGTCTGTTACGTTTCTTCTCATCATATGCTCTTGATATCCGTATGCTGATGTGCTTTGGACGTGCTCAGTGCAAATGACACCAGCTGATAACCATCAACCAATCAATGCTTTGGATGACGCAATGATTCTGGGGACTCCTTGTACTCCAGTTTTTGTTGAACACACCAATGGTGTGTTTGACTCTTTCTCATCATTATCCTATTGATGTTTGACACTTAGGTTGAGGCTAATAGACTGCCTCTTCCCACTCCAAAGTCGTGTCGACAGCCATTGGTATCTCATGAAACTGCAAAGACCGAATTGACAGCTTTATGAAGGAGATCTTTGCAAACGTGGAGAGTGTAGCAAAAGGACAAAACCATTTTCAATTTTGTGATCTGATGAGGACTGATCAGAGGCGTCGCAGTATGTAGTATGTGGATAATTTTCATCCATGCGAGCCACAAGCACGACTCTTGATTATCTTGTTTGTTGTGTTGTCATTCATTTTTATACAAATTTTGAATCCCATTTTTAAGTTCTTCCCTTTCTTGGTGTTATTTTCTCCTGTATATATTCATTTCATTGTCCATATTTTGCTTTCCAAGTTTTGTATAAAGTTTTGAGCTTGTCTTCCGTCGATTGATTGGTTTTAGGTGTTTACTAATTTTTCCTGTGAATATTAATGTTAGTGATCATGTTTCTTTTTGAAAATCACCTACACTGAGCCAAAACTCTTTCGACATCTGCCCAACAGACATTACAGTTAAAGACATGGACGGAGCATGTTTTAGATAAAATTAGGACAGTTTTGAATGTGCCCCCAAGTGAAAAACAAACCCTTGGGTGCTCCACGAGTTTTAAAATCTTAGAAACATATCAGGAAATAAGGGTTCTCCAATTCAAAAATTAAGTTCAAATTTTGTGAGAGTTTTTATATCTTAATTTCGGAGGCACAGTGAAAATAAAATAAAAAAGCCACTTCAATCACATCAAAAAGAAAGTGAGGTACATAACATCATGGAAGAGAATAAAGTAGTATTTCAGCAGCAAGACTATTCACAGGTAAGATAGAGAAGAAAAAGAGCAGAAAGGTAACATATCGATAGAATATAAGAGCAAAAAGTATGAACAGTTACCAACAAGATTTTTGAAGGCATAGTGAAAAATAAAACAAAAAAGCTACTTCAACAGCATCAAAAAGGAAGTGAGGTACATAACATCATGAAAGATAAGAACAGAGTATTCCAGCAGCAAGACTATTCACATGTAAGATAGAGATGAAAAAGAAGAGAAAGTAACATATCGATAGAATCTAAGAGCAAAAAGTATTCACAGGTACTAGCATAATTGATCTCAACAACATGATATACAAAACCCGTGTCATTCAACCAACCACAATATCGTATACAGCTACTAGCAATAACAATCAGATAAACCCACGACTACATAACTTTTGGAAGAAAAACAGATGTGAAGTGAGCAAAAAGGTGGACTTGATCAGATGTATGAAGGGAAGGCGGGTCTATAACTCACCACGATGTGCACTTCATCAAGATTGGATGGTATTCATATCCCATAGAACGCCCCATACCTCTGTGCAACATGGTCTTCAAATTCATTGAGTATTTGTTCTTTCAAAGCTCGCTGGACTATGCGGTGACCTGGTTTGAAGTGTTGAATCAAGTGGCGAAGATCGATCTTTTCAATACTAGTGAGGTCGTAGTCCGGTGTCATGAATTGAGTAAGGTGATGAGGTAAGTTTAGCACTCTATTCCAATATACTGGATTAGCTTGGAAGGCTGGGATTGGGTCACGTTGACGAATCGGACGGTCAAGTACAACTGGTAGCTCATGAGGTTCTCTGGATTGTTGGCGAGATGGCGTAGGTATGCGCGGAGGCGAAGGTGATCTGATAGAGGATGCTCTGATGGACGAATTGGATGAAGCTGAGGAGCTGGAAGAGCTTCGAGCTGACCGGGCTCTGATGGTTGACTGTCGAGCTGATCTGATAGAGGATGCTCTGATGGATGAATCGGATGAAGCTGAGGCAATGGAAGAGCTTCGAGCTGACCGGGATCTGATGGTTGACTGTCGAGCTGATCTACGTCGAGCGCTTGAGTTGATGGATACGTTTCCCTTAACACTACCACGAACATGAATATGTACAGCCATTGATATATAGTATATAGTATGTATACTTAAACGTGTCTAAAAATTTAAGTAGTGTAAAAATAGTATGTGTGTGTACAAATATATAAGTATGAACAAGAATATGAAATAGTTGACGGTGTTTTTTCTAATGACAAAAGTTTAATCCAGAACTGTGATTTGAGCTGACCACCTTGAGGATTCTTGAACGTCAGTTCTATTTATGGATCAAAGCTCCACACACGCTATCGATATCACCTTCAGACCTTGGACAACAAAGACAACCAAATGTCATCGAAACACACTTCCTCTTTCTAATCTCTCCCATCAAGAGTGTTATCAGAGAGGCCCCCCTTAGAACCGGATGTGAATTACTATCAAAAGTGAGTTTTGTCCTTTGTTTGACGACAAAAAGTTAGCAAAGTGATTCAGCTGATCCTTTCATTATCCAACAACAGCTGGAAATCAGAATCAGATCTAGGGTGCGTTCTTATCTTTACTTGAAAACAAACCTGCCGAATAATGGTAATCATAGGATCAGACGTGGGTGGTGTTCTCGTGTAGATGACAAACGCTTAGGAGAAAGTTCTAGTACGTATGTTCTTATTCTTGAATACATACGTACACAACCAAAGTTGAGATACAGGTAATAGACCTACATGAGGAGCCAAAGCTGTAAGTGGGATCAACAAAGGGAAGGAAGTCATTTTTTTTGTCAATGATCGGCGTTGATCTCAAGTTCCAAGTGTTTGTATCTTCTCTTATATATTCTCTCATCTCATTTGTTTTCTGCTTTGACAAGGGCAATAAATTTACGCTCTCGTTTCTTTAAAGGGACCGGTGGAATCTAGATAGGCGATTATCATCCTTTTTTTATGAGATCCAAACTTTCAACATGTTGATCTCAAGTTAAAAGTTTTTGATCAACTTCTTCATCTCATTTGTTTTCTGCTTTGACAAAGGCAATAGAGTTACCCGTGATTTTGTTCAAGGTGTAGTTGGAATTAAGAAAGGTCAGTAAGTCATTCTTCTTTTTTGTCGATGATCTGTGTTGATCTCAAGATGAAACTTTTCGTACTTTCTCTCAAATTTTGTGTCTTCTGCTGCTAACTGCCAAATCCTGTTCTCCCAACATTCATCTTCCAAAACGTTTCCAGACCATTAATTTTCTTCTGACATATCTTGTTGTGTTTTTTATGCTCTAGAGTCTAGAGGAGCAACCGCTACAGAAGACACCATATTTAGGTCCTTTGATAATATATATCCCCCCGAAGACAAGACATAGAGAATTTTATACTTTCAATACTTCTCATTACCTCTGCACCGAGTCACACTAACCGCCTATGACAGGACTAGGGCCTGGTATGGAACTTGGTAAGGATGCCTGTCTGATCTTCAACTTTTGTGGTCGATTTAAACTTACTGACTTTTTTCGTTGGCCACGGTAGACAATCAATCTACTGCACCAGCAGTAGAATCGACTGGCCATGAGGAATATACAAACATTCTTGAAAAACAAGAAGGATTGAGCCTTGATATGGAACTCGGTAAAGATTGTCCAGCCTAATCATCGAACTTTTGGACATTTTCAACTTACCCAATCTCTTCTGGCCACTTTAGACAATCAATCACCAGCACACCGTCCAAATCACCATGCAGAAAAAAGAAGTATTCTTGATCAACAAAGCGAACCGGCTCCTGGAATGGAACTCGGTAAGATTTTCATGTCCAAGCATCAACTGAAAGTTAATTTCAACTTACTCGGTTTGCACCTCCTTGACCGCTTTAGATAATCAAGTCACGGCACCAGAAAACCATCTGGCCCCCCACGAGGAAAATACAATCATGTCTGATGGATCAGGAGGCCTAAGTTTTGGTATGAAATTCGGTAAGAACCTCTGGCCCAATCATTCACTGATCGTTCATTTCAACATGATCTCACTTGATTTTTGCATCTCTTTGTCCAATATAGATGAAGCTACAGTAGCAGCGGACCATTTGACTCCCCATGTGGCAGATACAATCCCAGTCTTGGCGCAATCTGAGGGATTGAATTTGGAACATCATGGTCAGCTTTTGTTTCATCCGACTGGTTCAGGTTGGTATGCATCACTGAGATAGTTATGATCCTCGTAGGTCCTATGGATTTGGAAAAACCCACCAGTTCCACATCCATCAGCCATCCTCGTCAGTTTCACATTTTTACTATCTCTTGCAAGATTCAATCATACACCTAATATTTGTGTCTTTCCTGCATGTTTTGTGTTAGTGCCGTCAGACGCTTCAAGCCTGGGCCAACATATCATTGATTCGGCATCAAAATCCACCTCATCAATCCCCCCCACCCAAACCCCTGGCCCGCCAACAAATATAACCCCCTCTAAGCGAATTATCAGTGCTAACCAAACCAATACAGAAATCTCTATTGACACTATTTCCAAACGTAGGTTCTCTTCCTTATGATCAAAATAGGAATTCACACACCTAATTCTTTGCATTCTCAAGGGAGGATTATAAATTGCTCGAACTGGTGTCGTCGTTATACTACAAATGAAGGTATGTGATATAACAAAAGAGAATTTGTGATATTGGATGTTCATATCCTTTGCAAATAAAGATCTATCCCACCGTAACGACAGAAACCCCTCGCAGCGTCATTCTACCCGTGATTCTGAGTCCACCATCCCCCGCGATCCTGAGTCCACCATCCCCCGCGATCCCGAGTCCATGAACCCCCGCGATCCTGAGTCCATGAACCCCCGTGATCCTGAGTCCACGATCCCTACTCAATCGACTTCTCAGCATCCATACAATCAAAGTGACACGACTCAAGGCGGAAACTTCAATGCCCGCATTCAATTTCACCAATTCAACCCTACTCTGGCTCATACCGCGGCGCATTCTGGTCCACAAGCGTTTGGCTGGCATCCACAGCAGCTTCCAGCTTATCCCGTTTCGATGGAACTCGGACCAACCTATCCACATATCCCTGCCTTTCAGACCAATCCCATTTCACACCCACAGGGCTCCGGGCCACCCTTCATTTTATTGCCACCACCATCCAATTTTAATCCATACACTGGGAACATGCTGGCTCCTCCCTCAACAACATCTGAAACTCTTGAGATTGGAAATCCGACCCGTCGCACAACTTTCAACACTGCAAGATCTACTGAAAACTCAAGTGACCCATCACGCACCTCAACTCAACAACATCAGCCAAGCACCTCAGCCCGTCACCAGTCATCCTCAGCCTCAAGACACTCTCTAGAGGTACCACAGCCCATACCACAGCGCTCTCGCTCTCCTACTCATAGCTTGACTGAAGGTCAATCATCGCAACTATTCAGAAATTCATCACGCTCACCAAGCTCATCATCACACTCATCGCGAGCTATGAGAAGCTCTTCACGTCGCCATCGGTCTACACAAGCCTCTGCCAAAGCCTCAACATCACGACGAAGCCCATCGTCATCACCACAACCATCTGATGTTTCATCTAGTGAGGAATCTGATGAATCTGACAGCAGCCCCGAAAGCGACCTTGATATACATCAAAGACAGCACCATCAGCGTAAATTAGCCCAATCTCGGGCCAAGATCACCAAATCACGACACGATGGTATCCGGTTTGAGAAGCTTACTGAAGATCAAGGACCCTCCAAAAACGAGCAGCTGTCAATTTGTATTCAAGACTATTGTAAACTTCTTCTGGGTGTAACTCGCAAAATTCGTGGTCAAAAGAGTACATCAAAACTTCCCAGCCCACCATCTGAAAAGGAAATTACTGAATGGGAGAAACGCAAGAATGATCGAAAGTTAAGCATTAAAGAACGCGTGAAGAAAGAACGAGAAAGGTTTTTAAAGTATAACTCAGCTCCCAAACGCGCAGAGCTAAAATTGATTGAAGAAGCAGCAACTAAAAAAGCCGTTCAGAAACTTACACCGGTGATCTTTACTTCACGTGTTTCTTCTAGAAATTCCTCCAAATTCTCAACCACCGTAGCATCTACTTGTGAGGCAGCTCTTGCCATTGCTGGATTCTCTCGATGCACGTTTGATTGGCTTCAACCTCTCCAATCTAAATGGAACAAAGCCATGTCCACTATCATCTTACAGGAGTGGGACAAGTGCTACTATAGGGGTGATGCTTCGAGGTACTCAATCAACACTGATCACGTCACATCTGTAAATAAATTCAAGATCTTTGAACGATGGTACAGCACACAGCGTTCAAACTTCTCACGAGAAGTTCGTAAGACGTCAAATACGGAAAACAATCCTGATAACAACTCCATGAATGATGTAGATGATGATAAAGAGTCAAGGGAGAAGATTAGCCGGGCTAACTCCAGGAAGCGTGTAAGTCTGATGGTCTCCAAGTCTCTGCCAGCATATTATTGTGTATTTGATTCTTGATTCTTGTTCTCTCTAGGTATCTACACTTCGAGCTGAAACCTTCAAGAAGTATTTTCCAGACGAACGCCAACTACATCTCATCATTTCGGATCCCAGGGTTCACTCTGAGGATGAACTAGATGAAGACAACCGCCAATTTCGACCACAGCTGCCTTGGAGGATGGAGGATTTTGACACTTTACTCAATTTACTTGGTGAGCTATGTATTCACTTGAAAATGGATCCTCGGGGTGAAAATATTGCGACCAAAGCTCTACGCCGAGGAGATCACGTGGAGATGAGTGAAAAGGACAAAGGTAGATCATTTCCACCAAAGAAGTTACCAAGATCTTTGGTCAGGGATACTTATGTAGCAAAGTATCTCACGATCGCTCGACAATCTGAACTCGCATTTTCACCGGATGAGTTTGATCTGAAGGACATGATTGCGAAGTTGAGGCAACAGATGGCGCGATAGAAAAATCAAGTCGTGAGGTTATTAGTTTGACATGTTTTTTTTCAAATACAATGAGTATATACAAATTCAATATAATCTTTCAACTTAAATCAAAGTCCTCTTAAATTCTAGTTGTGGTTTCCTTAGATTTTGTCATTTGGAGTTTTTAAACTTGTGAAAGTTGAACGTATTAAGTCAAACCAAGCTCGGTTTTATTTTGAGTCTAGTCGACAGTATCCAAATCTAAGGGTTCAATGTCGTATGAATGGTGGATCATCGGTTCTCACTTTCCAGGATGATGTTAAATCTAACCTTTCAACTAACGGTGTATTGACCAGTTCAAGATTTGCTCATATGTATGTTTATGTTTAATTTAATTACTCAAATCCATACAATCGATCTATGTTTTACTTTATCCTACGTTTTACTTTATCACCTAGACCTACTTTACAAGCTTCATCTTAGACTTCTACATGTTTGTTAATCTAAACCTTTTCTCAAGTCTCTGGTTATGGTCCCAAACTGGGAGGACCGATCCGTCTTTATCGTGAGATGACGGGAAAAGAAGCAGTAATGAGAACAACTGTTAATCAAGGTGATTAGACGCGTTGCACTCCTAGTCTGTTAGTAAGGTGCTCAGATTGGAGTTTCCTTTTGTCTTTGTGTTCCTCTTGTTCCGCGTAAAGCTATCATTTGAAGGAGCTGAGGCAGGGTAGCTGAGAGAATGAGCTGAGCTCTGAACAGAGCTACAAGATGCGCAAGCCAGCTGAGGAGTTGTTTTGATTCTGTACACCTTGCTCAAGTTGAGAAAAGGCAATCAACAAAATCCTCAGTACTGAGCACAAGTATTGGATGATTCTCAATATCAAACATGGATCACTCCCTTGCTAACGCGTCAGGAGTATGAAATTCGGACCCTGTGTGTGCAAGGGCTTGAGACAATAATCAATGGCTATTGAATACATGTCTACTCCTTATGGGAGAGTTAGCTATCTTGGAGCTCAAGTTCACAGGGACGCGGGAAAGCGTGTCGGACCTCTACCGGACCCCTCCATCCTCTGTCCCTTCTAAGCTAGGTTGAGTAGTCTAGGTGAAGGGATGGGGAGTGGGTTGGGGGGGTCCCTTGGGTCCTCTCTTGGGTCTCTAACTAGACCTATTGGGATAACATATCCCATGCAACGTCTAGCAAGATTGAGAGGACTGAGGGGGGATTCTCACCAATGCTGAGGACGGGAGATGTCAGACCCCTCACTCCGAGCAACATGTCCAGAGTTCTGACAAGCACCCCTTCCTCTGGGCTTGGTGCCCCCTTTCTTTCCTAATGTTTGTACTTACTTTCCACCTGTACTCATGTACAGCCGTTTTAATATCTAACGGAAGTTTTTTGAAGACTTGTGTTGTTGCCGGATTTTACTCGCAAAGTCAAAAACTTGCAATTTTTCAACTTTCAGAATGAAGTGTATTGTACTTCTTCAAGATTGGCCAAATGCTCCACCTTTTCCTCTCTCCATAACTTTCTTCCATTCCGGTGATTCATTCTTCAAGTCAATTACCGGAAACCAATCCATGATTGTGATGGCATCATCTCCAGGGATGCCTTTCTCACCCGGCCAATATTCAAACCATTCACCTCCCTACATCATAAAGCCACCACCCTCTTTTCTACTGGTTGCAAAAGATTCTATAGTCACATTTCCCATATTTTTGACCCATTTGATATTCACCAATAACATACCATCCCCCATATCACTATCCTCATTTTGTCCTTCATACCAAATACAAGACTACAAATCCAAGTCCACTGAATCTTGTTTGTTGATTGTTTTCTCTTTGTTATTCTTTTCCGCTTTCCAATAAGTTTTTGTTAATGGATGTTTGTGATAGATTTCAATATGTCCAATCCTGCTTCCAACGCGCCAGCTGCCACTCCGTTGATTGGTAACATGAACACACATGAGTTTCATTTTCATCCCCCCTGTAATGCCGGTAATGAGAATCAAATTGACTGACTTATTCTTTTTCAGTCTTTGATTTGCCTGAGGATTGAGTGGGAGATGATCAGCAAGCGACGTGTACCAGACAGAACCCTTTATCCCAAGTCGGAACTCCGGGTCGAGAAGCATTTGCAAAGAACAATCAAATGACCGTTGAGGTCCGTTTCACTACTCCAAAGTGCATCTTTACCCATGGGTTTAGAAAAGTGACTTGTACGTAGAAAAGTGCACTTTTCTTCTGGAATATAAGTGATTGAGTGTAGAAAACCGTACAACCATCCTTACGTTGAAGGTATAATGGGTGCAGAAGCTGAGAAACCAGCAAAGTCAACATACATATATACATATGTTGTGAGGGCTACAGAAACACTGTCTGATCAAACACAGTCTTTATCACCTTTTCTTTACCCCAAATTGATTGTTGAGTATAGTAAACTGTAAAATTGTGAGAATATCCTGGAATAGTCAACTCACTTGCATGTTTAATTGATATGCACATGTACTGTGCTATATCAGCAGTGATGTAGAAACATAGCCTTTGCAGCAAGAACCCACTTTCTGTTTGAAAGAGTTATCCCCAATCACCAAGATACCAATCCAACCCCTCCCAAGATGCTATCTCTGAAGAAAAAGGGTCAACAATACTGCAGGAACGTCTGTACATGTCAAGCATACAATTGCATCTTGGGACGGTACGTAGACGCCAATGGCGTAGAATGCAATGGTGTCGAGCTCAGACCTGAAGCCTTCAAAGCTCATCAGCGCACAGAATTACGCAATCAAGCTCAATTCAGTGCAAGTGCTGAGCGCAACAACCTTTTGGCCTCCTCTGTAACCCACAAAATCACATCTTGTCTTGAACGAGTGGTTCTGGGGGCAACCCCCCCTTGATTACCATCTGTTGCACCGGGATCAACATCAAATTGTCGATCAAATATCTTACCGTCATCACAGTCAGGCCACGGTTCAGCAACATCCAGCCCACCAACAAACACACGGACCACAGATGACTACGTAGAGATGATTGATGGAAGTCTTGATGCAGCCTTGGCGCGAGACGCTGGCATACAACCATAGTTTTTTGCACTCAAAAGTAAGGTGTAAAATTGTAATTGTGAGGAGCCCTTTGGAATTTTGCACTCTGATGATTTGCACTTCTTATTGAGTGTAAATGCTAAGAGTGCAAAAGTAGAGAAATGCCCGTCAAAATTTAATTTTGCACCCAACTTTTTTTGCCCTCAATATTGTATGTAAAAAATAGAGGGCAAAAGTGTAACTTGTTCATGTTCTTTCACATTTTTACACTCAATAATTTACACATGATTTTTTACACTTCAGAAAATCAGTCAGATTGAGTGTAAAATTGCATCTGACCCCCCTACACATTGATTTTTACACTCAATGGAATTTACACCCAATATTGAGTGTAAATCATTGAGTGCAAAAATCTCTTAACCCGTACTTTGTGACTTTTGGATATCCAAAGAACGACCATTGAGCTGTCTTTGACACAAGGACTCAGGCCAACTCAGTCACCTACTGAACTTCATCCATACGATCATGAAGTTCTGAATAGAATCCCACAGACGCCTGCTACTATCTTCGGCTGGCTACAGGTTGATCCAACTCTGACGTTCACAAACTGCTGTCAATCTTGCTTTGCATTGTACCCTCTCGATAATGCACCACCTACTTGCAACCATTGAATCTGTGTCATACCAAGTGGTCCTCCCGATTCAACCAATCCGAATAGCAAGATTGATGTCTCGCTGTCTACCAAAGGTATTCATGATTTTTCTGATCAAGTGTGCGGAGCACAGTTGTTGAAATTTTCTAGGGGGAAGGAGGTTCCGGTGCGGCGTTATGCTTTTCAGAGTCTGACGGACTGGATAGCACGCTTGCTTTCGCG